TCAGATGGAAATCACATCCATCCATCCATCCTGGAGAAGAGTCCTGCCTGCCTGAGCTGCACTCTAGTGATGCATCTGAAGGAAATTAGGGATTCTATTTATGTGGAGCAGCTTGTTGGCTGATAAGACAACTGCTCTGTTTGTGCTTTGCTTGTTTTTCCTTCTGGTTTAGCTGAGGAGAGGATGATGTTCCTCCCACTCCATCCATCCCACAGATGTCACAGGGACTGGGACAAAAAAACCTCTGTGTGAGCTTGATCTGGTTCCTGCAAGGTAGAGGTTGGAGACTGAGCTCATCCTGTAAAAGCTGAGAGAAAACTCTTAAAAGAATAGGAATTTGTGGTGGGTGATTTATCTCCCCAGAGCACACATATAAAATACCTCAGTGTGGAAAAAAAACACCCCAAAACAACCTCCAAGTGTCTCTTTGTCCCAGCCAGATTCCAAGATAATTAGATGGAGAGTCATCAGTGGAGATGACTGGAACTGGAGGAGGGAGATTCCTTTCCCTGTGATTTCTCATTTCTTCATAGACAAACAAGCATCAATATCTAGTTAAATTAATATCAGAATTTTCCCAGGTCCTTCCAGCATTGGTCAACTCACTAATAACTTTCAGGGTAGATTTAATGTCCATTGTAAGGAGGTTGAGCTCTGAAATAATGGGTAATTTTCAGAGGGCAGCACCTAATTTATAAACACACAAATAATTTAGAAGATAACTGGTGATTTCAGGGGCTTTTGTTTTGGGGAATGCAGTTGTTGATCACTGAAGAGAGCCTGATTTCCAGGCTGTGGGTGAGGAGTTCCCTCTGAGCATTTATCCTCTTCCAAGTATTTTGAGTTGGGCATCCACAGTGAGGGAACTCAAAAATATCAATTTGCATTTGGTGTGGAATGCATCAGGTGTGGAAAACCAACATTTTTTCATCATTAGTGGTTTCCAAGCTTTAAAAATGTATTTTAACATTAAAACCCTATCTGTATATGGGTCCTATATTTAGCTTTCCCTGCAAATAAATGTCCACATGAACCTATGTGGGGTAAACCTCTGGAAAATTTGAAGAAAAATTGGCAGGTTTTAAATGCTCAGGTAGAAATGTGATTTTATTTATGATTCCTCATTCCCAAGAGCTTAAAAAAGGGGCTGACCCCAAATGTTCTCCAGTACTTGAACCTTCCCAGATGAATCCTTTGTCTTTGGCAGGACTTTCATTCCCATATGTGAATCCAACCAGCTCTGGTGCATCCAAATGTGTAAGAATCCTCCTGTTAGGGTCAGAAACCCACACTCATATCTGTTAACCCTGGAAAAGCAACTGAGAAATCCAACTTTGGAATAACCATCTCTTACCCTTTGAGGTATTCCTGTCTTTTTTTTAAAAAGAGACAAATTTACAGTTGTACTGTAGGCAGAGAAACACATCTTAAGGCATTTTCCAAAATGTCTGGGCTGTTTAGGAGGAGGTGCCATTTAAATTACCACAAAAAAAAACTTCTTTTACTTTCATGTAAGTCGGGAAAGGCTGTTAAATAAAGGGACAAAATAGAGAACTTGTATTTTGAACTCAAAATAATTTAGCTACAAGACCAACGTGCCACTCTCTGCCCCCTTCAAAATGATCATATGGGAATTAACTTCTTTGTTATATCTTTTTCTCTTCCCTTCTCTCTCCCCATCCCATCCTCTCCTCGATGGCTGCAGCTGCTGGGACATGAATGACAACACTGCCCTGTGGTGGGTGATCAAGGGTCCTGTGGTTGGATCCATCATGGTAAGTAGGACCTGGAGCAGACACTTCCCCACCTCTCCTGAGGAGAAATAACCAATTTAAACACCTTCAGCTACCTTCACAAACAGAGGTGTCTGATTCTGGGCATCCTCAGTTGCTTTCCATGCTCCAGGGACAGCATTAGCCAGGTTTTCAGTGATTCCTTTGGGAATTCAGACATCCAGCTCACAGGAATTTATATCAGGTCTGGTGATTCTCCTGGGCAGTGTTTGGAGAGCTCCCTAAATTACAGCGACCTGCAGAGAAATTAGTGACTCAAATTAAATTAAATTAAATTAAAATAACTCAGTAATTCAGCTGATAACAGTGAAGGGGATGAACACGGAACTTCCACGCTTTACAGGCACATTCCATGAAGGATCACATCCTGGTTTGGGCAATCACTTATACTAGGTTTCTGTTGAACCAAGAATCTTCCAGGGGACAGCTGGGCTTCTCCATCCATTTACAGTCCTTGGTTCAGAGAGAAAATCCATCTGAAGTGGATGTACACACCTGCTTTACCTTCTTGCTTCTCCCTTGGGGGGAAAAACTTTGTATAAAGGACCAACTCAAATTTCCACTGTTTTCTTCTGGCTCTGGAGTTGGTGGCAGCCAAGTCTGATGCCAGAGCATTGAAAATAAACCTGATCTTATCATTCTCCAAACTTTTAAAAACTTCTAAACTGAGAAGTCCCTTAGTTCAGAGAAGGGAAGTTAAAGATACCTCTACTGCTGAGATCTGTGCTGTCAGGTTTTGGGGGGCAGGGATCTCTGTTTTTACTCTCTGCACTGGTTGATAATGAAAAATATCGAAACCTTTCCCTTCGTGTTTCTCTTCTCTTGTTCTTGGGTCTGCAGAAATCCTGAGTCAATTTACCTGCAGGAAGGGGGGATTTATTTACCTGCAAAAGGGATGATAAGATGCTTGTAAACTTCTTCCCTTACTCCTGAGCCTGTAAAGCTTTTAGACTGCAGTTTGGAGAAGAAGACACTGGGAATGTCTCATTTATAGTTTTAAAAAAGAAAATCATTGTTATAAATTTTTTTATAATTTTTTCCTTTTTCTTTTTTTTTTTTTTCTCCCTCCAGATAAACTTTGTGCTTTTTATTGGCATAATTGTGATACTTGTGCAGAAACTCCAGTCACCTGATATCGGGGGCAACGAATCCAGCATTTACTTGTAAGTACAAATAAAGCACTGACCAGTTTAAATTCCTCATATACACATAGGAAAAAGAGACCAAAAAAAATAAAAAAAGACACCTCAGCTGAATTAGGTCGATTTTCTAAAAGAATCACGGGGTCAATTAAATGGCTTTGGTGGATTTTTACTTTGATTTTTTTAATCCATCAGCCACGAGAGGGCATTTTAATGCCAGTTTTTCTCACCTTTCTTTAAAAGGCCTAGAAAATAAGCATGAATGCTAGATTGAAAAAAGACCAAAACCAAACCAAAACTGACTTTTCTTACAGGTCAGATATCTGGACATTAAAATACTGACCAGGTATAAACATTATTAATATAGACATGAGACAGTTTGCTGTGCTTCATGTGTTCCAGGGTCATGGTCCAAAATTCCCTCAAATCAATGAGATTGGATGAAAAAAATTAATTAACTTTGGGTTGAATTCTAATCTAGGAAGATCCCCTAAAACTGCTCATCTTTGTGTTTCTTACAACCTTAAATTCATTCCACTTAAGCCAAACAATTCCCCCACCCCCTAAAATTGCTTTAAAATCCACACAAATCCTAAAATTTTCCTTTAGAAGTTTATAACTTTGTAATTTAAGCTGATTTTTTTTTGAAGCTGAAATCTTTTTTATGAGTTTCCGCCTTAGAAGAGGACAGGTTGGCCATTTGGGCTGGCCTTCCTTCCAATTTTGAATACAGGCTGTCGTTCTCCTTATAAAAATTATATCAGCCTTTGGAATAACTGGGATGTGGCAGCACATTTGGGGTTGGCTCCTCTGCCTAAACACCCCTCACATTTGATTTGGCCAATTTTTTTTTTTGCAAGCTTGGATTATTTCTTGCCCTCAGAAACACTAAATTCCTGAGGAAAAAATAGGCAAGCCACGAAAACCTCAAAATAAAACCTTAAATAAAACTGCAAGATGTCAGGGGAAAACAGGAGATCCTTATTTTGTAGCAAATACAATTGCCCAGTGATTACTTTCACCCTAAGTAACCACAATCATAATATAACTATGTCCTCCATTTAAATGGCAATTCTCGGGGAAAAATAAGTCCTCCAGCTGCCTATCTTTTTTTTTCATCTTTTCCTTTTCCCCCTATTATCTAGTTTGCATTATCCATGAAAAGATAATATTTTTCTGCATCCCTTTGTCACGTCTGCAGCCGGACATCCCCTTACCGCGAGCGCTGCCCTTGCATCTCGCCCCAAACTCTGCTTCCACAGCCTAAATTAACGCTTGAAATTCGTTCAGTAAGTGGATTTACCTGAGAAATAAAGCTCAGGAGGGAGTGCAGGGATCCAGTGCATGATTTTCTTGCACGAAAACTTCCCGTGGATGTGCTGCTGGGGAGTGTTTCAGATTGAGCCTCAGGTTGCAATCAGCGTCGTCCCGGCTCAATAGGGTGACCGGGTTTTCCCGGTGTTGTTTTGTTTGGGGTTTTGTTTGTTTTTTTTTTTTCCTATGTGTATAGTTCGGCCACCAAAAGCCGAGTGAAAACATCCTATTGTTCCGTTCCATTCGCTGCCATCGTTCCCCACATTCCTTTGCAACTCCCGACTTCCCCCGGGTGTGTATTCGGTGGACCTCGCATTGATGTTCCTGCTATGGAGGGGAGTGTTGTTTATCCAAACAGACCCGAGGAGGGAAAAGTCACGCGGGGGATGATTAAAAGGGGCGAAATTAATGACTCTCTGCGCAGATTGACACCAGAGACAGGCGATATTTGTGCACGCAAACCCTGTAAATAAAAAAAAAAAAGAGGTTGTTGTAAGGAAGGGAAAAGTCAGATGGCAGTCTGGTTCTGTCCTCATATTGAAATCTCTGTGGAATTCAGATTGTGGTCCATATTGAGCACTTTCCATGTTCTACTTTGTTGTTTCGAACAATTACGACATCATTCCATCAGAGCAAACTCTCCATCCACATCTTCATCCCACAACACACTTGAGTGCTTCTCCTTTAGTAGCTGAGGAAGGATTGAGGTCGAGGAAGGATTTTCAGCCTGTTTCTGAAGGTAATATTGCATGGTACCTGCAGCAGGGATTTAAATTTATTCCAATATTATATATTGGAATAACCCTTTAACCAACTGGGACTTCCATCATCAAAAAAAAAAAAAAAAAAAAAAGAAAATGAAAGACCCCAAAAACTTGTGACTTGGAGTAGGATTTATTTTCTTCTTATCTGTATGGTACATGTTTAGGTTCAGGCCCTTCTAATGATTATTTTATTTAGGAAAATCTACCTCTGGTTTCATTTTATAAAGATGATGGTCACGGTTCTGCAAGGCACTTAAGCCTGTATTTGACTTTAAAAGCCTTGGGGATGGGCTTAAATTCAAAGATTAATATATTCATTATTAAAATCTCCCACCAGTGAAGTTCCCTGGGAACTGTGACAGGACCATGGAAAAAGAAAGCTGAGGAATGAGGATTGATTAATACAGTGTAGCCACTGGGGAATATAAGACTGGCTTTAAAAAAAATCAGTCATTTGTATCATTTGCAGCACATTTTGAGTGCTTTACTCCTCTAAAAATGTCAGACTTTCTCTCTAAATAACCTGATGATCATGGTATGCAACAGCTGAAAAAAACCTTGGAAATATGTGGCTGATTCCTATCAATTTCCTGCAAGGATCAAGTGCTTCAGTCATGATAAAATTCCATTTTATCAACTTGTATGTTCAGTCATTCTTTACCTTTCTCATGCCTTTAGTTCCCCCTCAGAACTGCCTGCATGTGCTGATCCCATTCCAGACTGAAGGGCTCAAGAAGTGACTGGAGGAACAATAACTCCACCTTTTTTTTCACTGGTGTTTTAGACAGAAACTCCTCTTTATGCCTGAAAATACTGGGAGATAGATCCATCAAAATATCTAAGCACCTGAGGCAATTCAAAATATAGCAGAGAGCTTTTTAATGATAATTTTATTATTATTTGGGTTTTCTTCCTAAAAACTTTTCACAGTCATCATAATCATTAGTTATGTTTTAGAGTGAGGAGTGAACTGCCAAAGGCAGAAAGTTTTTTTCTTGAAACATGCCTGATTTCAATTAATCTCATGTCAGTCCTGCCAAATTAAGCACCCAACCAAAGTAAGATCACTAATGCAAATGCAACAGATTTTTATCTGGGTTGGAAGTTCTGGGGCCCTCAGGAGGTGGGGAAGCACAAAGTGAGATTGATTGTATTCCCAGGGTAATTAAGGCAGTGATTAAAATGGGTCAGACAGGTTTCTTGCCCCATCTGGTGAATGAATATCATAAACAAGAGAAATGTGCCATGACTAGAGACTCAGAGAATCATATGAACATGATTTGGGTGGAAGGGACCTTAAAGATCATCGAGTTCCACCCCCTGCCATAGGCAGGGACACCTTCCCCTATCCCAGGTTGCTCCAACCTGGCCTTGGACACTTCCAGGGATCCAGGGGCAGCCACAGCTTCTCTGGGCAAGCTGTGCCAGGGCCTGCCCACCCTCCCAGCCAAGCATTTGTTCCTAATATCCAACCTAAACCTGCACTCTCTCTGTTCAAAGCCATTCCCCCCTTGTGACACGTCATTCTTCTTATAGAACAAATGGCCATGTCCTGAACTGGTACCTGTGTTTCCCACCCAGTTAGATTATACCTGACCTGCTGCCCAACAGAAAGAACCACCTGATTTTCAGCCATCTCCAACTGCAGTCTGTAAATACTTGGGAGAAGTAGCAGGTTTTTTTTAGGACAGTTGCACCACCTGCTGAAA